GACGACGAGCACGACCCGGAGACCAAGGACGTGTGCCACGGCATCCTCAAGTGCATTGCGCTGCGCGAGAAGTACATGGCCGCCAACGCGCTCTTGATGCAGCCGCATGACGAGATTCCCGAGCCGCCACTTACGCCGGGTGGTTCGCGCCCGCAGCTGCGCCATCGCGACGACCTGCCGTACAACATCTTTGACATTGCGGTACGATCATGTAACTCGAGCGCATCCAGCGATGGCTCATCATCTTTCTTGATACGATGATAGACACCGACGGGGTCGACGCACGCGATCCGCGTCCAGAACGGCGTCATCGTCGTGCTCAACGACGGCGCGACGGACCCGATCTACACGCCGCACTCGCAGGAAGAGTTTTACGACGACTGGTTCGAGGTCAAGCGCATTGTCAACTCGGGTCCGGTCAAGGTACTTGCTTCTCGTTGACCGCACGGTTTCCATGGCGGGCGTCTAGACCTTTTCGTTCAAGCGGCTGCAGCTACTCGAAGCGCGCTTCAATCTGCACACGCTTCTCAACGCAGACCGCGAGCTCGCGTCACAGAAGGCCGTGCCGCACCGCGACTTCTACAACATCCGCAAGGTCGACACGCACATTCACCACTCGGCGTGCATGAACCAGAAGCATCTGCTGCGGTTCATCAAGTCGCGCCTTAAGAACCACCCGGGCGAGATCGTCATTTTCCGCGACGGGCGCTTCATGACGCTGAGCGAGGTCTTCCACTCGCTCAACCTCACGGCGTACGACCTCTCGGTCGACACGCTCGACATGCACGCGTCCAACACGTTCCACCGCTTTGACCGGTTCAACCTCAAGTACAACCCCGCGGGGCAGAGTCGCCTTCGCGAGATCTTTCTCAAGACGGACAACCTCATCGGTGGCCGGTACATCGATCCTCGCTGGCAGCTTTCTTAGGATGAATTAGCTATTTGGCCGACATTACGAAGGAGGTCATGAGCGATCTGCACGCGTCCAAGTACCAGCTCGTCGAGTGGCGGCTCTCGATTTACGGCCGGAAGCACTCGGAGTGGGACAAGCTCGCCAAGTGGTTTTACGTCAACCGCCTCGCGTCGCCGCACGTGCGCTGGATGATCCAGATCCCGCGCTTGTACTTTTTGTACAAAAAGTACGAATCGAATCTCCACATTTGGGAATCGCACACGACGTTAGGTCGGGCGACGTTGAGAATTTCGAGCAAATGCTCGAAAACATCTTCCTCCCGCTCTTTGAAGTCACGAAGGACCCGAGTTCGAACCCGGCGCTGCACTGCTTTCTCCAGGCCGTGATTGGGTTTGACTGCGTCGACGACGAGAGCAAGACTGAGCCGATCCGCGCCGAGAAGGGCAAGCCGCTCCCGCCGCCCGCAAACTGGACCCACGAGCACAACCCGCCGTACGACTATTGGACGTACTACCTCTACGCCAACATCGCGTCGCTCAACGCCTTCCGCAAGGCCAAGGGCCTCTCGACCTTTAGCTTTCGTCCGCACTGCGGCGAGGCCGGCGACCCGGACCACTTGGCGGCCGCGTTTCTCTGCGCCAACGGGGTAAGCTTGCGTGTCCATCTCTTTTTCCATCTTGATATGTTGATACTTTTTAGATCAACCACGGTATCACGCTGCGCAAGACCGTGTCGCTGCAGTACCTCTACTACCTGACGCAGATCGGGATTGCCATGTCGCCGCTGAGCAACAACAAGCTCTTCCTCGACTTCCAGCGCAACCCGTTCCCGCAGTACTTTGCCCGCGGCCTCAACGTGTCGCTGAGCACGGACGACCCGCTCATGCTGCACTACACCAAGGACCCGCTTCTGGAGGAGTACAGCGTCGCGGCGCAGGTGTGGAAGCTCTCGGGCACCGACATTTGCGAGATCGCGCGCAACTCGGTACTGCAATCGGGTTTCGAGCACCCGTTCAAGCAGCACTTTTTGGGCAAAAGCTACTTTGAGCCAGGCTCCAACGGCAACGGTACGCGCCGTTTTTGAGATTCACGTTGAGATGACGACGTGAATAAGACATTCGCATGACCAACGTGCCCGACATGCGCCTCGACTTTCGCCACGAGACGCTCCAAAACGAGTTTCACCAGCTGCGCGAAGTCAACAACTTGTAGGCGCCACTTCGAACCCGTCCGCCGCCGACTTAGGTCTACGATAAAACTCTGTATTTGCGAGAATAGACGCACGGTGCATGCTTCCTATCGCGTCGGCTACAGCGCCGGCCAGCGCACCTCCAGCCGCGCAAACCGTCCGCTGGTTGTCGTCACAAGCGTGCCGGCTTTGAAGTGGTGGACAGGCGACGTTGTCGTCACGTACGGCCTCGTCTTGACACCCGGTGGTACGACCGGCGTCGGCCCCAGCAGCCGACGCCGATCAAACTGGGTCGCGGAGGTCGGGGCGCCGACAGACACTGGTTGACGGCCACGCGCTCTTCGCGGATGCAGATCTTGTGCGATGGCGTGCGCCTAGTGTAGTCATCGACACGCATGACACGACGCTGGCGACGGGACTACCTCGCGCTGCTGCTGGTGCTTGAGGTTGCAGAGCGTCGCGCGCGGACTCGCCGACGTTGACGGACGAATGTGGAGAATGCGGTTGAGGTCGTTGGGCAGCGACCGCAGCGTCTCGATCGAGTTGTCGATGCTGGCGCTTGCGTCATGACGTACGACGAGACTCATCGCGCGACGATTCGTCGTCGACGGTCGCTGCAGCGCACACCGCGTCTCGTCGAGGCGCCTGCAGTCGCGCGTGACGGCGGTTGTCACAAACTAGACCAGTTGGTGTCGAGGCGTGGATGGGGGCAACGTACTTGGGCGCAAAAGACGCAGACGCGGGCGACGCCGTCGTTGGAGCTACCGATCAGCGGGCCGTTGCCATGGTCGTTGTCGTCGAGGTCGGTCTCGTCGTCGACGAGGCCGCGCCGCCGGAGCATGCGGCGGGCCCGCCAGATGTCCTACGCGCCATCCCTCCATCACTTGATGCACACGTCAAGCAGGTGCAAACGTTGCCCGAGGTCGACTCGAAGCCAGCGCCGTAGGACCGGTGGCACAGCGAGCAGGTGGCTTGCTTGTCGCCCATATTGATCGAGAATATATTTAGATAGACAGGTCAGGATACGCTTGTCCCGAGCTGTCAATATTGATCGGCGATCGAATATGTCGCGTCAGTTGGCAACTACCTTGGTCGCGACATGGTCCGCAGCAGCAGCGAGATGGGGCTCTGGACCTCGGACGAGGTACTTGACTGTCCTTGGGTGGAGTCCGTGAGGCATGATCCTAGGACGAGAAGCTCCGGCGGGCGATTCTCATGTACGGGGCGCGGCGCTGGAAGCTTGTGGGCGACGTCATCAAGAACCGGAGCGCGGCCGAGTGCAACGCGCGCTGGCACGAGCTGCAGACGTGCACGTCCAAGCTCAAGCGTCCGTGGCTGGCCTTTGAGGACGAGCTCCTCGAGCGCATCGTGGCGACCCACGGCCCGAAGCGCTGGGGCTTTATCGCCTCGTACATTCCTGGCCGCAACGGCAAGCAGTGTCGAGAGAGGTATCCTCGTCTTGCTAGTCCGCCTCAGCGTCAGCGTGCGGTAGATGGCACAACCACTTGAGCCCGCACATCAACAAGGGCCCGTGGACGCCGGACGAGGACAAGCGCTTGATTGAGCTCCAAGCACGCTACGGCAACCGCTGGGCGCACATTATGAAGCAACTGCCGGGGCGGTAGACCCTTTTCACGCTACCGTGGGCTCAGACGTATGGTTAGGACGGACAATGCGATCAAGAACCATTGGTACTCCAACGTCAAGGTACACAACCTACAAGCATGGGAGCTCATACGTTCTACTAGCCGGCAGTGACGACAGGCGATGCCACCATTCCACTGGCGCCAGACGAAGAGCGCGTCATCGAGTTGGAGCCAGCGACCAAGATGACGCCGTTGGCGAGCCATCTTGCCTGGATCAGCGACGACATTCAGCTCTCGATGCCCATTCTCTGGGAGGATTTGCACGCGCTGGACGACGACACGAAGGAGCTCGTGGGCTTTGGCCTCTAAGTAAGCCGAGAGTAATGTATGGTGTGTGATGCTCGAGTCCGAATCACATGCGCCGAGACTGTCCGCAGCCGAGCCCCTCCTTCTACCTTGCTGCACAGGGTTGAGCGTCGGCTTCGGTACAGCAGACGAAGCTTATACCATGCGTTGTTCTCTTCCCGAGTACAGTATGCGGTCGCCCGCAATTGTCCGCGCTCGAAAATGGTGGGAAGGCCCATGGATCGGTCGATTGTACGTGGCGGCGCCACGTAACGTTATGGGGTGACGTTGGATATCCAATACATGAAAGCGCGCCTCTCCCATGCCGATATTGGATGACGCATATACATCCGGATACGCGCATCAATTTTGTGATTGGCGATGTGCGACGTATTGCTCTACTACAAGTACGCGGCGCTCTCTGCGACCGAGGCCGATGACGTGGCCGCGTGGCACGAGCGCTTCTGCGGTGCGCTTGGCCTGCACGGTCGCGTGCGCATTGCCGAGGAAGGCATCAACGGGACGCTCGGCGGGCCGGCGGCGGCGATCGACGCCTACATCGCGGCCATGGAGGCGTCGGCCGCGTTCGGCGGCTTGGCCATCGACTGGAAGCGAAGCGCCGCCGAGGCCTTGCCGTTCGACGACCTCCTCATCCGCCGCACCAAGGAGATCGTGTCCATCGAGCTGCCCGATGACATGTGCCACGTGCGCGGTACGGCGCAGCACCTCTCGCCGACCGACTTTGACGCCAAGCTCACGACCGACAACGTTGCCGTCATTGACGTCCGCAACGACTATGAGTACAAGTACGTGTCGGGCTCCTTCCTCGTAGCTTTGTCGTCATGGACCGTGCTAGCATTGGTCACTTTCAGGGCGCGCTGAACCCGCGCACGCGCCGCTTTGGCCAGTTTCCCGTCTGGGTCCGCGAGACGCTGCCGCAGCTGCAAGCGAAGAGCGCGATCTTGATGTACTGCACGGGCGGCATTCGCTGCGAGAAGGCGTCCGCGTACCTCCGGCACCTCGGCTTGGAGAACGTGTACCAGCTCGAGGGAGGTATACACCGCTACTTGGAAACGTTCCCGGACGGCGGGCATTTCCTCGGGAAAAACTTTGTGTTTGACCAACGTACGTCCAAGCTCAAGTATGAAAAGGAAGACTTATATCACGTGTAGGGGTCGCGATGGCATCCCGCAACGACGCGGTCGTCGGCAAGTGCAGTGCGTGCGATGACGCGCACGACGCGGTCTCGGGCACGCGCTGCGCCTACTGCCGGACGCACGTGCTGCTCTGCGACGGCTGCGTCGAAGCCAAGGCAGCCAAGCGCATCCAAGTGCTCTGCGGCGACCACGCGTGGATGGGTGACGGCAGCAGCGACGAGCTCGTCGCGAAACACGCGGCGCTCGAGGCCACGCTGTCGCAGCACGAAGGACCCAAGGGCAAGGGCCGCCGCCGTTCGATACGCAAGCAAATGGACGCGATCGAGAAGAGCCTCGACCAGTTTACGCTCGTTGAAGAAGGCCCGTCGGCGTCGGCGGCTTAGATGCTTTTTCTCGCGAACAGACCAAGCGTTCGCGCCTGAAGTCGACCACCTGATACTTACATACTAGTACACACCCGTAACAATGTGCACTGAGGGAAAGCGTACTTTCGTATCGAAGGCAGTGGCACCTCTAACGTAGCTGGCACTGCTGATACCAAGTGTTGAACGTAATGGCACATGCCAACGACGTCCGCCTGCAGCAGCGCACGTACGAGTTCTGTTCGATTACTGTCGACCACTTAGGCGGACGTCGACGACGAAGGTGGTGTGGGACTGCAGACATAGATGCAAAGACCTTCGCAGCGGATGGCGACGCTGATCTCCGTGGCATGTACTTGATCCTCGTCCGCAAAGTACTTGGACACTTGACCTTCCAAGCGGATCGTGATGTTCGTACATGTTGCCAGCGCAGCTGTGAGGTAGCGTTGTCCAAGGACCGTGAATGTGTTGAAAGAGAGGTCCATCTCGAACGGTTCTCGGGCGCATGTGCCTGCCAAGGCGTCCGCAAGCACCGTAACGTTCGTGCGGTTGATATTGCAGTGCCGAAAGCTTAAGTGGCGCACACCGGCCGCGATACACTGCTGCATCGCACGAGCCGCTTGGTCGATACGTTTTTCGATGTGGCTGCAGCTCGACCACGCAATCGATTCGAGCTGCGGGGAGCGAAGGGCCCAGTCTAGCACGGCGCCGAAGCTCGCTGTTGAGAAATTGACGTAGTCAAAACGAGCGCGACAAAGCACATATGGGCCATATAAGGGAGCCATTTCTCCTTCGGTGAGGTCGACGGCGCAGAGTGAGAGGTCTTGGAGCGATACCATGCTCGGCAGTACAAGCATACAGTACGCGCCGTCGCGTTTGCTTTCGAGTGTGAGCTCCTTGAGGTTTGGGAGGTCGAGGACCGGAGCAAGGTGGCGAAACCCATCTGCCGTACGCGCACTCGAGCCGCAGGTGAGATCAAGCTTCTTGAGATGTGTCAATGCGATGCCATTCGCGACGAGGCTCTGAACCACACCGGGAGAAACACACAACGCGAGGTCTGAGGGCGTCGACGACGCTAGAACCTGCGCAAGACGAGCATCGGGTGTCGTTAGCCATGTGAGCGCCAAGTGCCGCGCGTAGCCCGACGCAAGCCAGCGCTCGATGGCCGGCACAACGTCAGACGTATAAGCGCTTTTGTTGGAAGTGAGATTGAGCCGAAGGTCGGACACGCGGTGGGCCGGCGTCGTGATGGCGTCGAGAAGCGGCGTCTCACACGGAAGAAACGCGTGCTGGAGGTTCGTGCACTGCCGCAGCACGCTGTAGCACGCCTCGCGCTGGTCTGTGGTAGGGCTCTTGAGAAGCTGAACGTGCGTCACCTTGGTTGCCCAGTTGGCGACAAAGCGGCAAAATGGGGCGTCAAAGCTGATGCCCGTGATCGGAAACACAATGTTGTGTTGCGAGAAGCGACCGATGGACATTGAGTGGAAGACGGGCATGGCAGTAACCAGAGTGTTTTTAGCAGCCCGAGTATCGTTGACGTCACAGAGGTTTGGCATCGGCCAGACACTCGATGGCTCCTGGGAGCTGAGGAGCTGGACGAGGGCTGCGAGCGGTGGCGTCAATGTAGCTGGTGGCAGCGCGTGCAGAAAGGATGCTACGTCCGAGGGCGACAGCGTACATTGGACGATGGAGACGAGCACTTGAATGATGTCGAGCACCGACGCTGGCGACGGGCTCGGTCGCTTTGCTGCCATTCTCCATGTGCCATTTATCCGGATTTTGCGGTCGTTTAGCCGGATGTTATGTTTGAGAGACGTGCTTTGCTCGACCTAGATAGATAGATAGATAGATAGATAGATAGATAGATAGATAGATAGATAGATAGATAGATAGATAGATAGATAGATAGATAGATAGATAGATAG